TCTTCCTCCGACAACGACAGCGGTTGGTGAAGATCGTCAGGAATACGAGGAACGGTAACTAACTGCTGTCCGGGAGAGCTGGCGGAGAATACTCGCTTCTCTCGGTCGTTGCTGTGCGCAACCTCCTACGAGAGTCATGGAACGCTTGTCATAAATGCGCTCTACAACAGCGATTCAATGGTTGTACATTGTACGCATTTTCGGGAAAATTTTGGTGCTTGCTGGGTTGTTTTTCCCGCTTTTTCCCCCGTTGATGTCGGGAGGAGGACGTTTCACAGGCAGTTTCATTTCTATGGACTTGAGAGGCGTTTCGTGCAGCCCATGCCCATGCGCGGGGCCTCTGCCTGCGCTGTCTCTCAAGCAACCCATGCCTGTGTTGAACCAAGGAAGACAATCTTCAAGCTGAAGGAGCTATGACGAAGCAACTGGACGATGATTTGGATGAAGTGCAGATTCATATTGACCTCGTGGAGGAAAAACAGACGCGAGTCGAGGCAGCTCTCGAGGGCAGCGGCTTCTATCTGGGGACTGCAGACCAGGTGGGTTCACACGGTCTTGGTAACCAACACACAGCCATTACCATTCTTCATAGCATGCTCTATTTGCGCGTATGCTCCCAGGCTAGACCCTGGTGGAATGCTGGGTTGTCTTTGCTGTCTGTCATGTTGCGCCCCCCTGTGCGTGTGCAGCGCCTCATACTAGCGGTATAACTTCGCTGTTGATTTTATTTTCAGTTTAATTTTGGTTCGGAGGTTTGTACGTACCCGGCGCTACAGGAAGGACAAGAAGAAAGGAGCAAATAAATCGTGCCGGCTGTACGGGTGAACGGCTGCGGTATGCGCGTTTTGCTTTCAGCAGCCTACAACCACAGCATTGGCATGCGCTACGGGTCGAAACAAAATTGGGTCTGAAAGCGTAACAAGGGTGGAACACTTCCGTTTTGGAACTTGGGATAAGTATAACACAAGATAACACACCCCCTGAACCGACTTTCAAAGGTCAGATTCTCCACGACAAAGATGTAAAATTAACGAGCTCTCGGTGATTGGGGGGCGGGTGGCCTTTCGCGCCCCTGGCAATTAATGTAATACGTGGCATACTGGTTTTGTACGCTGTGTCATAAGTGCGTGTTTTCATTTTTTCTCGCTAAACCACAGAGCCGGCGGAAGAGGGTGCGCCATTAGACTACGGTACCACTTGTACAGGGCCCGGACACAATAACAATTCCGGTATTCCGGTATGAGAAGGGACTCCGATGCAAGAGGATCGAAGGCCGTTGTTACACCACCCCTACAACCGAACCTCGACTGTACGGACACCTGTTTTGTGGTGACACTGGATACACGGACGATTGAATGGCCTCTGACGATTGAATTTCAACGAGTTTTCGTGTGGGCCGGACGTGTTCGTCGAAGATATGTATTCGTGTTTGAGAGGAAGTTTTCAGACTGATGCCGTGGGGAGGACTCCACATGCAACACATATGGCACGCAATAGCCCGGAGAACGCTGCGCGTGCCTCTCGGCTCAACGCTCAATGAAAATTACGGGGAGCAAACAGCTGTGTAGTCCAAGAGAGGGACGAAGAAAAGTATCTAGAGCGAACGGCATGCAAGACAGGAACGGGCCTGATCGTCGGCAGCGTGGAGCTGATGAAGTGCACCCAGCGCCGCGCAGTCTAGATGCGTAGTCAAGAGTAAGACAAACAGTGCCAGTCTTCATGACGTTCGGAGTCATAAATGGGATGAGCGGCACCGGCGGCAGACAATGGGCTGACCCACAATGCGGCCAGATCATATGACCTACCGCCGGCATCCGCTGACAGTGTGGTCCGGTTTCCGCTGACCGAGCGAGAGATGCGCGGATCGCAGACCCTGGGAACAGCGAGGCGTGTGTCATAACTGAATCTCTCTGAGAGACCGTTGCAGATGTACGGAGTCATTGATGGAATGCCGTGCAAATAAAAAACGAATCCAGGCAATGTACGCCTGAGATGAAATACTGAGTGGGCCCGGCGAGAGACAAAGAGGACCATGGACCGGTCAGATCGTTTCAGGTACGACCGGCGTCCGCTGACGGGTTGGTCTGGTTTTTGCTGAGCGGGCGAGAAATATGTCAAAAACAAGCGGCAATTACAGCCATCGGAGTAGTTTGAATTCAAGTGAAACGCAAGTTCTCTTTCGCAGAGATCCAAAGATCCTGGAAATACAGCTCTGTGGGAGCCCGGGAGAAACTCTGCTGAGGGGAGAGTGAAACAAAAATGGAAGGGAGACTGTGGGCAAGGTGGGCTGAGGAGGTCGGGAGGCGATACATGTACTTCAAGTACAAGGTGTCCGGACGCGTAGCCACCGCCGCGGCCGGGTTCAAGTACATTGGGCTTGTGTTCGCCTGGATTGCTTCGTGCTGCTGTGTATTCTATCCCATATGTTCTAGAACTCATCATATCCTGCCTCCGCTTCCATTAAAGGAATGCATCGCACTATACAGCAGCGATGTAAACAACCTGTCACCGTTTTTAACCGGCAACAATGTTTGGGGGTAGGGTACACAGCAATTTGCAGGGACTAGTCCTAAATTTTGTACTGTACCAAGTATTTCCGTGCGCAAACTGAAGCACACTGCAGGTACAAGTGCAATACTCCAGTACACGACGGGTTGCTCGGTGATGATCGATATGAGGGCACATGTTTTTCTCCTCGCTAAGCCCTTCCCTACATTAGACTACTCAGACAGGACATGTTATGTTGTTTCTGTGGTTGGCCAAGGGTAGGCAAAAATGTTTTGCAAGAGAAATTCGGGAGTACAACAGCAGGTTATTCCATTCGTATCTACTGATTTTCCAACAATGTCGGCGGACTTCGGATGTGGCCGAGCCGAGACCCTTTAAACCAAGCCTGGGTCGTCCCCGAACTTCTGCTTCGCTTTCGCTTTCAGTACACAGCGTGGATTCGTTTTTCGTGTCGTCTCTGAGGGGATGCTTCACCGGAGACTGCTGTGTATGTGTTTTTTTTTCCGATCCTCCTGCGATACGTACCGCTCGATTTTGCTCCAGCGTTTTTTGCAGTGATCGATGTTTTCTTCGCCTCTCGTTTCTGTGTCGTTATTGTTTTTGATATAGGGCTGTACGACGCGTATCCCAGTTCCTCTCATCGCCGCCATTGAGTGACAAATGATGACCCGCATCTCTCCGCCCTCTTTGGGATCATGAACGGAGCTTGAAGCACCGATCAATTCTCAACCTCAAACTCACCGTCTTCTCCTCTCCGCGTCCATCGGTCATATTCTGGTCGCCCGCCCCATATGGGGCGCGGGGGGGGGAATCCTTGCCCTTAGCTGCTCATTCTCATGAATTGGTCGGTGTCCACCACTAGTCGCTCACTGCCGAGAATCGAACCGTTTCAATCGTTGCATCACCTTCGTATCTTCCATCTATTCATACTTTGGACTTGCCTCGAGCAAGAGATGTGTTTCCTCAGTATGTTGCCTCGGAACCTGTTGAGATACCAATCCGCTGGAATCATGCGTGTTGTTGTGCCCCGAATCTGCTTTAGGTCGTTCTCATGCAGCATTTGCAAAGCCTGAGAACGGAAAAGGAGCACCTGCGAAAGGGAAAGGCGCAACTGTGTGACCAAAGTGCTACTGCTGCTCCGTCAACTGGGGCCACCCAACACACTGACTGGTGGGTGGGGAAATTGACAAAGCGAATGGGAGTTTGTCGTGCTGCGGCTTTTGGTGGCAGTGATAAAACAACATAAACCAATGAAACGGGTTTCTAGGAACCAAACACGATTTCACCGAATCATCGTCGAAATACGGGCAACTTTTTAGAGTATACGCTGATCCATTGCGCTTTCCACCGTGTATTGCTGCCGATAGAGGAGCGTGGACGCGATGGTGCTGCTGACGTCCAGACATCGCAACACTGTGTTGATTCACACCATTGTTCACATTCGACAGACTCCGGGTTGGGCGAGATGTTCATATGCAATGCGTGTTGAAATCAGCTGCCAGCGCGACCTGTGAAAAACTAGAAATCGTTTGGGTGATGAACAACGGGGATGCCATTGTAGTCACTCGGATTTCTCGATGTTTGTTTGGCTGTGGTATTGCCGCTCTGCTCTCAGAATATCCTACTCTTCGGCGAGCTTCGAGGCCCCCACGGCAGCTACTAGCGGTCTTTTCATGCCCATGTGTCACCGCCAGTTGAAGTGAGGCTTCCTCTAGTGAACTACTGTAGCGCGACCGTCAGGAAGGGTAACACGGCCAGAAATATGGGGGGGGCGGGGGGCGGAAGCGCCTCCTTCGCAACGGGTTTATTCTTCTTCTGTCTCGGGAAGCCTCGGGGTAGTGCTGCTTCGGAAACAGCCTTGGTGCAAGACCTCGATGTATGGAGCCGAAATACATGGCACGTAATAGTTGGGTCCCTGTGCCTGCCCACGCCTTACCCAAGCTGTAGCCTTCGATGATGTACGCTTCCGGCCGTAGCTCTGGGATGCCCCAAGTTAAGGATGCCGAGAGCTTCGTCTGGGTCTTGTCGACATTAGCGTGGACGAGGCGGTTTTCACGCTCACCTTCATCCTTGCCTCCGTTACATGGCCGACGACACGCCGGTGGAATGACTTGTCGGATATACACATTGTGTTCCACCTATATTTGCAGATGACGGATGTGCAGGTGATTGCGCATCAAGTAGCAGCAGCTCCGCGACCGGCGGGCACAAGAAACGCCTGCGACCGGAAATTGCACAAGCGGTGACAGGGTCGACCAAGCAGGGGCGCAAGAAGACGGAGGAGAATGTTCTTTGCGGTCTCGCGAAGATGAATGCAATAGGAGGTAGAAGAATCTTCCTGAGCGCGCAAGTCACGAAGGGTATGCGCGATTTGGAGTCATGATCCCTCATGACCGCTATCGTTTCGGTGTGTTCCCGCGTGTGCTTAACGTTCGCAAGGCTCCCATGAACATCATCGTCAAAACGCTGTCCGCAAGAACGTGCAGATCGACATGGTTCCCAGCAACACGGTCCTTGACTTAAAGCGAAAGGTCCAAGAGGAGGAAGGGATCCCCCCTGACCAGCAGAAGGCCGTCTTCGCTGGCAAACTACTCGAGAATGACCGGACGATGCGTGAGTACGATATTCAAACCAACCAAGTGATATACTTGGTCTCAAGACTGTCCAGAGGCAAGCAAGTCATCGTCCTGTACCCATCAGCCCTCCCCGATGCCACTGTGACGCTGAAGCTGAGCCTACCCTGGAGCTTCTCGGCGCTGTACCCCAGACCCTTGACGAAGAGCGTCAGACATCAGGTTACGAGGTGCGTCTCTTACAGATAAAAGCAGATGTTGAGGGGTGCACCAGGAGGCAAGCCTACATCTTGTCATGCGTAGCCGCAGGTCTTCGGCGGTGTGAACGGCGTGTGCAGCGCATTCACGGCGAACGCTTGGATTTTGTTCTGCTTGGTTCACTCTTTTGTCATTGTGGTGCTCTTCATTGCAGAATGATGCGCGTGTCGTCCATATGCGTGTTGCATAAATGAGAGTTGTCTGGCAGCAACCTCGTCCTTTTTCGTGGCAACATTCAGCAGTGTCGCCATCGGTGTTGACGACAGAGAATATCATGGGCGGGCGGGCCAAAACCAAGAATGCATTGCCCGAAAGAAAGATCTGTTTCGAGTTTCATCTCCTTGGCCTGTGCGAGTCTAAATCCCGGACCAGGTTCCCATAGGTACAAGAGCTAGATGCCCGACATGGCCAAACCCGAAACAACCCCGTGTGCCATTCGATCATTCCTCTACGCAGGATTCACCGCAAAGTGCCTAGAAGGAAACACCTTATCCTGTAGGTTGCATTCGGCCACGCACTCACGCGGAGAGCAGAGCGACCTCGAGAAAACCCCCACATATGTCAAACCTCAAAGTTTATTCCGATGTGCCGTGTCGTCAAAGTTCTGAAGCTGTAAACTTCAGTCTCTCCGATCTATTTCCATTTTTGTCACCCTCTTATTCCGATCCCCCCACCGGGTCTCAAAAGCCGATCTCGATTTATTGCGCACGGCTCGCTACATCTCCAGTATTCCTCGATAGGGCATCCCAAATCATGACCAGTCACCACGTTTGATCGACTTCGGCGTGCAGTAGCGCACGTCACAGGTGTGAGGTCATGCGCGACCATGCGTGCTGTTTTTCTCTCGTCCCCATCGCTCGTTTTGGAAGATTCGAATCTCATGGTCAGCTTGGCAGAAATCAACAGACCGATGTCGACCAACGGCGCATGTTTCGCGATATGTTGAGTACGTGTCGATAGGGCATATCGCGAGTCAGCCCCCTCGCCGAAATTCACCCCCGTCCGTGAGCAGCAGACCTAAATTCAATTCTGTCACCCCCTTTGTCCGATTCCCCCACCGTGTCTGAAAGGCCCACCTCGAACTATGGTGCACGGCCCGCGAAGTCTCGAGCATGCCTCGATAAAGCATCCCAAACTATGCCTAGTCAACAAGTTCGAGTTAAGTGTGCAGTAGCGTATGCATACGTCACTACAAGTGTGCGGCCATGTGCGACCATGCGCGCTGTGTCTCTCTCGTCTTCACTGGTTCGCCGTCGTCCTATCCTCGTCGCTCTTTTAAGATTTGAACCTCATGGTCAGCTTGGCAGAAATCAAGAGACCGATGTCGACCTACAGCGCCCGTTTCGCGATATCATGAGTATGGCTCGATAGAGCATGTCGCGAGCCATGCCCCCTCGCCGAAATTATCTCCCGTCCAGCATTCACAACAAGTGTGCGACCATGCGTTTCCTCGTTATGACCACTTCGCCGTCTTGCTTTCGCTCTTCCATTGATCTTTGGAACGAATGTAGGGAAAAAATGGATATCTCGCTTTCCCCTCAATCCTCTCCCCTTATTGTTGTAGTACTGTCGAATATTTCGGAGAAGTGGAATCGCAGATTGTTGGCCGGTGAGGCTTCCCCCCCCCCCCTGCTCAATGAATTTCGGAGAAATGAATCTCACTTATCCTACGAAAATTTCACCTCTCCAAACATTGTTGGCCAAACATTTCAGGGAAAAAGAATCTCAGGTTATTGGCCAGTGGGTCTTTCCCGCACCCCGGCTCTGCCCCTAAACTCGGCCAGCTGCTAATTAAAACCACTTTCAGGCAAATCAGCTTCAGACAGGCGACGCCGACGATACCCGTCGCGATACCCGTCGCGATACCCGTCGCGTTGAGTTCTCACAATACGTTATTCGGTGGTCATTGGTTCCCTGTCCAACCCTGTCAAATGCGATTAAGCAACTGCCATCGCCCCCGAAGTAGCTGCCCCCCTCACAAACAGCTGACAGCTGAAGAGCAAATCGAGAGATGGCCCGTTTCGTCGTATGTTGGGCAGCACTGCGTACACTGCAATCATGAACACAAGCCTGTCTTGGAGGAATCGAGAAGTAGGCTCGAGAATCGAGCCATCTTGCTTGTTCATTTTGATTGGTTCAGGCCATTGTGGCAAGCGGCCAGCACTGCGAGTGGATCGTGCACGCCAATCCGGATGGCTCTCTAACGGATATTAGCACTTCCAGGGAGTACCCGTATCTCTTCTGGGAAGCGGACTCTACCGATGGGCTGGTGTGCGGGAACTTTGGCCTGGAGAAGACGCCGTCGTTTTGCGTTGCTGGAAACGATGCAGGTACGGATGAGCCGCCGACGTACACCAGTAGCCTCACGTACACAATGTTGTACTGTATCGAATCTTCTCACCCACACCGACTCATTGATGTTGAACATTTTATATCACACTCAGGTGGGTCTGTTGTCTATACACTGGAGGTCATGGCCAGGCCCAACCGTGTCTCCCACAGGTTTTCGCTACGGTAGTTTGATTGCCCAATGAACACGGCCGGACAAGCCGTGGAATGCGTCGCAACGAATTCTACGGAATACACTTGTGGCATGCGGCACGGTTAGGTTTTTGTTGCAAACAGCTGGCATCGTGAATGCTCGGAGGAGGAACTCCAGCCTTGTGTTTGGGCCATTGGACCCTCATGCTGCCGCTCTGGCTGGCGAACAGCACCGACTTGGCAAATTCCGGATATAGTATTGCAGTGTTCAGCCTCCTCCTTTTACCCAAAACGCCTCACCCCTTACCTGCGCATGATTTCGTGGCCTGGTTTACCTGGAAGGTCTGTTCCTCGACGTTGCGCTGGAACGACTCGGGCTCAACGTGCGGGAGCGCTGTGACGTGATCACCTACTGGCTGCCGCAGCTGGAGCCTTAACGTGATCAACTTCGTACAGACAACGCGCTACGAGCAAGCCGCCCGTCTGACAATCTCGCCCAGTCCGGACGTCATGATCCGCGTCTTCATGGCCTTCAGGTGTGCCATTGGTGACTTACACCGATCCAAAGTTCATCAGGCACACCTACCGTATGGCAAAACTACAGTTACTTCTCCGGGCGTGGAGCACGATGCGTGTTTCCAATGATAGCTACTTTGTCTTAGAATGCGCCACCCGGCTGGCTAGGTACCGTCCAATCTGGAAGGAAACGGAGAGTTCAGCGGGAGCAGACAGCATGGAACCGGGGCTGGAAGGGACACGAGAGCAGGAAACCAACAGCTGAGGCTGTACAGTGCAAATCGTATATAGCGACAAGAACTCAAATGGCGACGAGGATGAGTTATGGTGGCTAGGGTAGTTCATGGGTTATATCCACCCAACCAAGGGGTTCATCCAAGAACTATCGAGGAACGCAACAACGACCCATGCGACTTAAGCAGTTTGCCGGCATGAGCGATCTACTAGCAAGAGGATCTGACAAACACCACTCCCCTATCACGCCACCAGGCGCCCGTTCGAGAACCTACTCCCCTTTTTTATTCACACCAGCCCTGCAGCACCTCACGGAATCGAAAGCTCCTCCTGCAAGCAAAAACGTAGAAACCCGAAAAACCATGAGACAACTGCATTGATACGGCAGGCACGATTGGCCGGCAACTGCGCTTATTCATCAACGATTGACAAGGACGCACCTCGACTATTATGAGCAAGACAATATATGAAAAAATATAGTACAACGGTGAAACGAGATATTGCCTCCTTCAAAAGTGGATCAACTGACCTCCGCCAAAACAGTCCTTTCGGAATCAAATAAAATTCTGACTGTTAATGTCGACGTCGCGCACATGCACGAAGGTCAACAACCAAAGAGGCACGGCGACGCGAGTGCAACCTTTGCGAAATCTCCGGTATGACAGGAGTAGAAACACACAGCCAGACGGACCTCAATCACCAAAAAACTCACTTTGGCGCCCAACTCGAGTCCCACTGCTAACCCCGTCGGTCCTGCGGTCCCACCGCTGCAGTACACGATGACGTCCAACTCCGAACCAAACGTCACCTCTGCCAACGATTTCGCAGAGTCGACGGCATATCGAAATGTTAAGGAATGTGTCACATTGTAAGGGGACATTCTAGCGCAAAGACTGTTGTGGCGAACCTGTTAATCAATGCACATGCGCGAGGCCTTCTTTTTTGTCTCGCCCTCATCCAAAACGGCATGATTCAGCCAAGCGTAAAGGGTTTTCGTGAAAACAAGACTACCGGTTGTTTTGACCGGCGCCAAGGGGGTCGGCGGTTGTCGGTGCGGTCGCCTGCAACGCTTGTGCTGCAGAAGACACAATAAAAAGGCGTCGTGCATACAAAAAATATGAATATTCAAGGGTGTACCCACAAAAGGTACCGGCGGTATTTTTGTGGGTACAGCATTATTACCCTACAGAATACTTCTGTGAGATCTGTGGCACTTCCAATACCCTACAGAAAACGTCTGTGAACATTTGTTAACCTACCGGCTATGTTCTGTGAGTTTTGTACGACCTTCGCACAAACCCGACTTTTTCTGTTGAGTTATGTGGCACTGGCGATACAACCCCGGATATTTCTGTATGTTCTGTGGCACCAACAGAAAGCTGTGAGTTCTGTAACCCTTCCGATACCCTACACCTACCGGACGCTTCTGTGAGATCTGTGGCACTTCCAATACCCTACCGGAAACTTCTGTTCGATCTGTGACGCTGTATATACCCGACCTACTACGTCTGTACGCTCTATGTTCTGAGTCAGGCCCACCAACCAAACTTGAAGCGCACAAATCACGTGGTTCTCGCAGACAAGTCATGGTGAGCATGCACCACACACATGACATGCACCACACACATACACACCATTGTGAACGACCACGACGCATCTGTATCGCTGCGGAGGAGAGGGACGTGAGCTCTACCTCTACATACCACCGCGGACCCCCGAGCGGATCATCGGTCGCTGCGGGAGGAGTCAGAACGCTGGCGGAGGCAGCACCACCACCACCACCACCACCACCACCAGAACGCGCGGGAGAAGTAGAGATATAGTCGACGCGGGAGGCGGTGCTTGATGGCCGCTGAAGCCATGTTCGACGTGTTGAGCAACACGGCGACCCCCTCCGTGGATGACATCGACATGGAGGACTGAATAGAACCAGGCTTGATTCTGTAGCAAGTTGTGGCCAATCAGGACTTCGGGCATTCTATGCATGCATGTCCGTTTCCAACCGTACCTCATATGGCAAACACCGCTGGCTATTGTTGCAACTGGCAGATTGATCGAGTGGGGAGGCCTTTGCTCCTGGTTTGCGTATGTCGGAAGTAGTTTGGTGGGATCCGACAAGTGCATGAGCGTACGAAGTATTCTTGTTTCGTTTATGTTTCTCGTGACGTGTCTTTGCAGCACCTCATGTTGTGGTAGACCTGTGAACACGACACGAAAATAGATGGATGGATAGAGTAAAAAGCAGTGGCAACATGTTGCGAGAAGCAACGTGTTTTTTATTGGCAGGGTACCCCGTATTTGCATGGTTGCTTGTGCTTGTACTGCCGGACGCAGAGAGACCGGGGGGGGATACCTGGGGTTACCTGGGGTATCTCTCATTTGAGCGACATGCTTACATACCCCCTATTTTCTGTTTTGTAACACTTGCGATGCCCTACAGAACGTTACAGACGAGTTCTGTGGCACTTTCAATACCCTACAGAAAACGTCTGTGAGTTCTGTTACACTTGAATACCCTACCGGACACTTCTGTGAGTTCTGTGGTGCTCCAATATCCTCCAGAAAACATCTGTGACTTCGGTGACGCTCCAATACCCTACAGAATACTTCTGTGAGCATTTGATAACCTACCGGCTAGGTTCTGTGAGTTTTGTACGACCTTCGCACAAACCCGATTTTTTCTGTTGAGTCTTGTGGCACTTGCGATACAATACCGGATATTTCTGTGAGATCTGTGGCACTTTCAATATACCCTACAGAGAACTGGTGTGAGTTCTGTGGCACGACAGTAAGGTACAGAAACGTCTGTGCAGATTTGTGAACCCACCCGAAACGCTCTGTGGGTTCTGTACGACATTCTCACAAACCCGATGTTTTCTGTGGAGTTATGTGACACTTTCAATACCTACCCGATAGTTCTGTGAGTTCTGTGACAACTTCCAATACCCTGCTACAGAAAGTTGCAGACCCTACAGAACATACCCGTGGAATATTTGACACCTGTGGCAGTGGTCCGAGCTATCCCAGTCATATGCCCCCCGCTTGCCGTTCATGTCCCAACTCCAGCGTTCTCCAGCCATTAATGCAAGAGGCGAAAGCTCTCGTTTCCCTGTTCCATCACGCCAAAAGCATGTTGTCATTTTGGTGCCGAATGATGGTGATATGGAGAGGGGCCACGCGCTTTGATCGCATGCAGGCGAAGGAAGCATCGAAATCTTTCTAGTCGTTTCCGCGATCGCCTCGTAAGAATCTTTCCCCAACACTTTTCTCCCCGTGATTCCTAGGCCTTCTGCCCGCCGAAGAACGTTTCAACACCTTCCGGTGTCTATGGTACTACCCAAGCCTAGTGGTACTGTCAAGCTCTGCGCGATGAAAACGGTGGCCGCTCCCAAGTAAGACGTCTCCAACCAACTTTCAAGGTCCCTCAAGCAGCGATGACAAACGAGAGCACACAATATGCTGGGAAAAACACGAGTTCCAAGAAGCGAGAGGAGCAACCTCTCCAACAGCGAGCCGGGACCATCGGTTGCCGTTCTCAGAAGAAAGGAATTCAGGAAGATGCTTCGACCCAAAGCCAGAAACATCGGCACCGGAACCTCGGCAATTGACATATCATGAAACTTTCTGTGGGCCAATAGAGATTGTTCACCCGACATTCAAGCTCAACACTGTGCCATGGCGAGTCGAAGTTGTTTAGTAAAACACGAATGGGCTCTGGGAATGGTTAGGGCAGCAACTTAAAGCTTGTGTGCCCGACGCGGGCGGAAAATATATAAACGCTTGAATATTTGGGGCGCGGGGAGCGGAACTCGTATATGTTGTAGTGCAGATGCTACAAGTAGTGAGGCATTGCCGAGGTTACATCACACGGTGGTAGTCAAATTGTTTTGTCCCATAGAACCGTCAGGAAAAAAAGAGCTCTCTAAGATACGCGACCTGTATGAACTGTGACCATTAGAAATTTTCCATACGTAAAACAGGTATCACTACCACTAGGTCTAGACTGTGCCGCCTGACAATGCAGCACCTGAGACCGTGCCTCAACCTAACTAAAAGCAACCTTTCGATGTCTCGTAGAGAATGCATGACACGCGTTCGCTGCAGCGTGAGGCACGGCTCTCACCGCGCAGTCTTCTCAAAGGGCCTTCCGTGTCCACCGCCCCCGAAACGTTAACAGCAGCGCAGAGATTTACCGCCACGGCTGCTCTCCTAGTTCTACCCAAGAAGAACCAGCGCAGCCGCGCCTGAGACCCACGTGTGGTGCGACGGTGGTTGATTGATTTGAATGCGCAGTTGCAGGCAGGGAGGGGTGGACCGATGGATGGGTTAGTTTTCCGAAGGAAGGACGAAGACAGCGAAGTAACCCAAGGACAAAACAGAACTCCGGCCGGCCGGGCTCGATGACCAAACTCGTGAATCTTCACTTGTATTGAATCTTCACTAGTATCCAACGCCGAACACCGACTCTGGCTATGGTCGGTTCCGGGGTGGCATGTGCACACGATATACAGCCAAGACGCACCGCCACCGACCGTGCGTCACCCATGACACGAACGACTGAGTTGCCAGCAGAGCAACTGACGCCCGCGCGAGACAAACAGAATAGAGCCAAACGACATGCGGACCCAGGGAAGCCAAGAAGATGACGCCACGAGCTACGGGGCTGTGGGGACCGACTCACTTGCTG